CCTCTTTCCTTTATAAAGACAAATCACAAACATGTAACACTGCACTGAGATTCTGAGCTTGGACACCACTAAAGTATCAGCACTACAACTCAAAGGAGGAGCCCAAAAAGACAAGACCAACCTTTTTCTTAAAATCACTACTAAGTTTGTCTTCACAGCCTCAGAAATCTCACTCCCAAACATCCACAGTCCAGCACAGCTGCAGCACAGCAGTTTATTGCAGAGGAGCAACAATAGTAGCTGTTTTCCCCAACGAAGACAGAGTTTCACAGAACGTAATTTTGAAAAGTCAGAATCTTCAGCGATAAATCTCCCATATGAGCTAATCAGCAACGACTGGCTGACAATTATTACTGAGCCAATGAAACAGGACTGTTTCGCAGAGAAACAGAACTCAAATTAAAAATGAAATGCATCCAAACACAAAGCATGACACAGCCCCATGTACTTCATGGCACAGGGCCAAAAAAAGGTGTCTGTTCAGAATGTAAGAACAGACATGGGTCAGTAGTTCAGCATTTCTTTGCAAAAAGAAACCCACAGTACTGCAAAATGGTCAGCAGGGTCAGAAAAGGCCTAACGTACTCAGGCAACAGGGCTGCTCCCCAATATCCTACAGTTCCAACACTGCCATGCTAAGGCTTACACAGAAGTCTCCACACCAGTTAACCAAAATCAGACACTCTATCTGATATTAGAACCTGGCGTCTCTTCCAGTGCATGCACCAACATAATCTCCATCTGCACAATCTTTATAACTGATAATGACATACCCAAGCCAGAACAAACAGAGTTAGATTTCCTGATTGCAGGATATCTTTGAAACAAGAAAAAAACAATTTACCTGTAAAAGCAATAAAAATGTTAATAGGAATCATTAAAAAACAAGAAGTTATTATGGTAGGGCTTTTTAAAATTTAGTAATTTAGTTAAAAATAAAATTTAAAAAAATCTTTGTACTACCTGTAATTTATGAAGACAAATTATTAATGAAATGCCTCCCAGTCATGGAGCCCTCTCTAAAAGCCTCACAGGAATGCTACTAAAATGGGGGGTTAGCAGAAGGAGCTTGAAAAGAGATTGTGCTAAAAAGTATGGAGAAATGCTCCTCAAAACAATTGCCAGAGTAGTCACGCACAGATTTCCATCTCGTGTCGCCTGTTTTTTCCAGAGCACAACTTGTGCCTGCTTTTTACCTTGTTCATTTCAAAACGAAGCTGCTGAATCTGCAAACTGCATCATTTCCTACTCTGAAGTGGCATTTAAAGGAGCTGCACGAGCCACGTCCGTGCTTTCAAACAAACCAGCGGAAGACGAACACGCAGTACAAGACCGCAGGTGTCGGGAATCGGTGTGCGGGTGCCGGCCAAGCGCCGCGGAGCACACCGGCAGCAGCAGCGCGGGGTGGGCACAGCGCCTGGGGGTCCCACCTGTGCCCGGCCCCACCTGCGCCGCCAGGGGGCGATGGCGCGCGAGCCGCCCCCACCTGGGCACACCTGAGCAACAGCCCGCGCGGGCAGCCACGAGGGCGCTGAGGGGCTGTGCGGGGGGTATGAGGGGCCGTGCGGGGCCGTGAGGGCTCTGAGGGCTGTGCAAGGCAATGAGGGCTGTGCAGGGCTCTGAGGGCTGTGCGGTGCCATGAGGGGCCGTGCGGGGCCGTGAGGGCTCTGAGGGCTGTGCGGGGCCATGAGGGGCTGTTCGGGGCCATGAGGGCTCTGAGGGCTGTGCAAGGCAATGAGGGTTGTGCGGTGCCATGAAGGGCTGTGCGAGGCCGTGAGGGCTCTGAGGGCTGTGCGGGCCGTGCGGGGTGTGACGCTGCCCCTGTTGCCGTGGCGACGCCCCGCGCGTGCGCACAGCGCCCCCGACCCCACCGGCCCGTGACGCGGCCCCGCGGCGGTGACAGCGCGGCCGTCCCGGCCCCGCGGCCAAGCTGAGGAGGCCCCCGCGGCGGCGGCGGCGTGGCCCGGCCCGGCCCGGTCCGTCCCCTCGCCCCTCACCTTTCCCCCTCCTCCCGCACACCGAGCGCCAGCGGGGCGGGAGCGGCCCAGCGATGATTCGGCGATCCCCGCGGGAACCAGGCGGACGCCGAGGAGCGCCGAGCCCCGCGCGTGACGTCATGGCCGGCGGGAGGCGCGCACGCGCCGTGTGGGCCCGGCCGGACCGGGCCGGGATCCCCTCAGGAGTCCCAGTGAGGGGATCCCAGTGAGGGGATCCCAGTGAGGGGATCCCAGTGAGGGGATCCTGCTCAGGGCATCCCAGTCAGGGGATCCTGATCAGGGCATCCCAGTCAGGGGATCCTGCTCAGGGCCAGGGTTTATTCTGCAATAAAGACCCAAGTCTTGCAGGGCCACACGGCTACACAAAGTCTCCCAAGGGCTGTGCTGCAGGAGAGCTGCTGTAAGCAAAGGGAAGGCAGTGCAGACACGGACACAACACACACACTCCCCCCTAAGAGGCTCCCGTTGCTCTCCAGCCACACCACGACTTGCTCAAAGAAAGCAAATAAACCATCCTTTGCTTGTGTCACCTGTCTAGGAGTTAAAAGCTCTCGTCATTTCTCTATTTTCTGAGAAGGCTGTCCTGCTATAATTCCACCTAGAAAGCTTGATACCTCTTAAAAACTATTGCTTTTCAGTTTTCCTATAATTTTTCCTATGGAGGCAAAGAGCCATTGAAAGCTAAATTAAACCTAGAGTACCACAGGGCTGGTAAATGAGTCTGTTCTGTTCCACTTCTGTTGATGCAGACAAGGGCCTGGAGACTTTCTGTGAGTTTGGGCAGTTAGTCTGCAGCTTGCTTTTCTACTCCTATCCAACTTGCCGTCAGTAGGAACACTGATTCCTAAATCCCTGCTCTAAAGGGCTTCCCACAGCATTGTGAGAGCACAGCACACTGAGGAGGTCGTGCCCCTCATTATTAGGAGAAACACCTTCAGGACTGCAGAATGCACAACTACAGCCCCACGTTTCCCTACATGTTTTGCTGAAATGATTTGAATTAAGAGACTGAGAGCAGCAGATCATTGCTATAAATTGCTGTGCATAATGAAACCACATGTGCAAT